CTTACGTAATTGAATGTACAGCCATTTCATGTCCTTGTGCAGCAAACCATTGTATTTGTGCATAATTTGAATATTCATGATTAATAAAAAATGTTGCCCGTATACCACAACCATTTGGATTTCTTCTTGATTGTTGTGAATTAAAACGATTACCATAACCTAGTACACGACGATAATGATCATAAACCAGGTCGTTTAGAGCACCGGAAAAACTAATCAAAACCATTTGTGGTGTTTGACTTGGTGGAATATTGGCCGGTATTAATGTACCATCATTTGTACAGAAACAATTTGGTAGATGACAATCATCCAATTGACATGATGGCAGTGCATCTTGACTTAATTCACGTTCTTCAGCACGTACTTCAGCTTCATCAATTGGGCCACAAGTTAGTTGTTCAGTTTTAAATGTACAATATTTTAGTTTGGAATCAAAATACAATGATGGTGGACATGTTTGACTCCATGCACGCCAATTACCACAAAGATTAAATTTTCGACAATTATTTGGATCGGCAAATAGACCATCGGATTTTGGACAAGTGAAATCTGCACCACCACCAGAATTGCCTTGTGAACCAGAATGATCATCATCATCTGGATCTGGATTCGATGTTAATGGTGGTGGTGAATTTATATTTGATGATGATTCAGGTTGTCCACGTGAAAATTGTCGATTTGATGATGATGAGGATGGTGATTGTGGTGATGATGATATTGAACCACGTGATCTTTGTCCATTTGTAATTGCTTTATTTCAACAAAAAACAGAAAAAAAATTGTAAATTTGAAACCGAAAAACTTTCTAAAATTCAAATTTGAAAAAATTACCAAAAATGGATATGAAAATAAACAGGAAAAATATTTTAAAATTATCTTGAGACATTCTTTTTGTTGATCAATTTGAGAAATTTTCCCGGAAAAAAAGTAATTTAAAATAAACGATCTATCGATTGTATGTTTTTTTTCGGAAACTATTTCATTTCCTAAACATGTAGTGATGGTTGTTGAAAATTACGTTTTGTCTTGATATCCACCCGCACACAAACAAACACACACACACTTCCCGTTTGATGTTTTGTTTTGTTTGTTTCAAACGTTTCAATATGTTTTCATTATTGAAACTATAGATTGATTAAATAGAGATAGAAACAACAACAACAACAACAACAAAAAATTTTGGCTTCGTTAACACGTTGAAAAGATTGTTAATCGAAATTCTTTTGGATAAAATTAATTTGATCGAGAGTCATTTAGAAAGATAAAAACAACAACAAATGACTGGTCAACACAAGAACTACTACCAACTTTTTTTCATCATCATCATCATCATCTTTTTTTCTCTCTAAAACAATCTTTAAAATGAAATGAAATTGAGAGAAAGTTTTTTTCTTCTTTTTTTTTCTTATTTACCTGATCCAATTTACACAGACATAAAGACAGACTTTATCCTAGATAATTTGGACCATCCACCACTTACACTTGTCTCTCTTTTTGAAAAATTCTCATTTCAAGTTTCTTCATTTCATCAAATGGACGAATTTTATCAGAGCAAAAACAAAAAACTGGATCATCTTTCTCTCTCTCTCTCTTTTAATGTTTCGCTCTTTTCTCTTGTTTGTTCATCATAGTTTTAATATTTGGACCGGTTTCAGATGATTTTTCAAGCCAAAAAGAAAAAAATCATAATCTCAAAGATTTGTGTGATATGATTATGTCAATCAAATCAAATCCGAATCAGATCAATGTTGAACGAAATTTTAAAAATATTCAATTTTTTCAGAAAAACAAAAATCAACGATTAAGCTTGACATTGATTTTCATGTCAAATCGAAAATGGTGACATAAAAATCTATTTATAACTCTTTTTTTCTGGAATTTTTCGTTTCATTAACAATCCCGAATTCAAATAAAAAAAACCGGAAAATTATCTCCAATTTTTTCCATTTCGAAAAAAAAATTATCAAAATTGTTAGCATTACGGTGCAATAGATGGCGTTACGTGGTGTAATTTTATTTTTTAAAATGGTCATCATAATGGACGAAAAGTATGGTGATATTTTAATCTCCAGAATCACCAGAATAATCCATAAATACAATGATTACGTGATCAGAATATTTTTTTGTTTGCCAATTCTATTGCTGTGTTTTGATTTGTTTTTTCCTGTCATCGTTGTTGTTGTTGTTAAATATCGATAATTTGATTGACAATCTGTGAACAACTAAAGAAAAACTGTAACTTTTATCCAGAGAAAAAAAACATTCTTTGACCAAAAATCACTGACAATCCATTCATTGTAATCGATCCATTTGGATCAAAATTCAATTGATCCAAATTCAAAATACGCATCCTCAAAAAAAATCAATCACCACCACCACATAGTAGATTCTTACGCTGCTAGCATAATCATCTTCTGTAGTAGTGGTAGCGGATTCAAATGTTTTTTTTTTATTCGAATGTTTTTCTTGTTTTCGAATTTCATTCATTCATTCATCATTCAACCACAAGAACAGACAACATCAACAACAACCAGAAACAGACCAACCAGAAACAGACGGATTTATTCCCGGTTCAAATCTCATTACCGACGAAAAAAAAACTTCAAAATCTAATTCAATTTTGTGTGAATCAAATTAATTAATCATTTTGTTTCAAACGAAGGAAACAAAAGCAAAAAAAAAATTTTTTTGTTTTTTACCTCAGGAAGATCACCATCATCATCAAAATTTATAATTATTTCAACCATTAATGACGCCCTGGGTAGATATAGTTGTGTAGAGGTGGTGGTGTATACCGGTTTCATTTCAGTGTTTCAATCGGACATTGTTTCAATCAATCGATCCATCAGATTTATTTTATTCTGTGTTCTGTCTGTGTTCTGTGTTGTTGTTTTTCAATCATTTTTTTCGCAAATGATCCATTTTGGATCGGAAAAATCATTAATGAGAAAATAGCGTGTCCAACCAGAGAAAATATCAGTGAAACGAAAGTGTTTCATCATCATAATCATCATTGGTTGACCAATCAACCCAGACCAAACCGAATTGACTTCATCATCGAGAAATAATAATAATTATTAACCCCGACCAAACCAAACCCAGAAATCGAATTTGAATAGCCAACGATTGTATACACACATTAATTTTGAAATTCATAATGACCTATGACCTCAAAAGGTATATTACCTTTTTTTTGTTGTTGTTGAATACTTTACCTGCCAAGTTTGAATAATTTTTGAATCGGTCGGTTGATTTTTTTCTATGGTTTTTCCTGATTGGATACCTGAATAGTTTTGAGCAATGGATTCATCATCACCACACCCGTAAATGTAAATTATCATCATCATCCGGTTCAGTTTTGTGTTTATCGTTTTTGTGTGTGTTTGTCATTTTTGTTCGTACGTGTCATCCGATGTCATGTCATAATCTTGGCTGTTGAAATGTTTTTTCAATTGATTTTTTGAACGTGCTCGGTGTGTGTTTGTGTGTCGGTGTTTTTCTTTACCGGTAGTGTGTGTGATCATCGATACCAACAACAACGAAAAAAAGAATATCGATGCTATCGATACCCTACGAAAATGTCAACATCCAGTGCAACATTTTCAAGGCCAATAAATAGGTCAAATAATTGTGTAAAATTTTTTTCAGTTAATAATTTTCGTCCACCTGATTTAAAATTATCATCATTATTAATAATATTTTCATTAATAACAATCGATATAATCGATTGTTCAATCACACAAGAAGGTATGTTTAACTAATAACTAACTAACTAACTATCGATATTTGAACGATTCGAATCGATTGTTGTTTACGATATTCACTCACTCGCTCACAGCAGAATATTCTTTTCCTTCATTACTTTATTTCGATTCTGGATTCGGATTTTTATCTATGTTGTTTTTTCTCCATTAAAAAAAATGTTTTTTCCGAAAATGAAAATAATTAAAAACAACAATGTGATTGGACATCAAGCTGGTTTTTTTTGTGCCTCTGAATGTAAAGAATTTCAATTTTTCGCTCGCTTTTACAAACCACCCTCACAGAATTCTCTTTTTATTTCTGTTTTTTTGCACTTTGAACGCCATGATGCCCAGAAATGTTATATAAAAAGAAGTTTGCTTTCACCATCATTCTACCATTAATTTTTGTTCATCATTCAACATTGAATGAATGAATGAAAAGAGAGAGAGAGAGAGAGAGAGAGAGAGAGAGAGAGAGAACAAATTCTGTAGAAAAAAACCATATTGTCCATGTGTGATATTTATTATTATTATTATGAAAATAATGAATTACGATGAATGAATGGAATGAATGAAAGAATGGTTGTTTTGTTTTGTTTTGTTTATGAAAGTTATAAATAAACATCATCATCATCATCATTGATCGAGAACGAAGAGAGAGAGACGAGATATGGTTATTTTTCAAGATAGCTGATGATGATGACAAAAATAATAGAATGAAAATTCCATAGATTCCACAGCAGTAGTTGGCGACTATTTTTATTTAGGTGGATGTTGAGCGCACGAGTTTGTTTTTGTTTGTGTGTGTGTGTAAATAGCCGATTATTATTTTGGTATTTTCTTTTTTCATTTAAAATTTTGTCGTTTTTCTCTCACTCACTTTTGCGACAAAATTAATTCATCATCATTCAGTCCACCCACGCTTTTTTTTTGTTTAAAGTGATAATTATGTAACAGGAAGGATATTTCTATTTAATTTCATTCATTCGTTCATCACTCTCTCTCTCTCTCTCTCTTCCATTGTAATAATGATGTTTATCTCCATCTCATCTCTCATCTTTTGATTATTATATTGATATAAATGATGTTGAAAATATGTCAAACCAAGCAACAGAAAAAAAGAAGAAATTTCTTCAATCAAAATGTCATAATTCAATGATGATGATGATGATGATGTCTCGATACTATCGATACAATCGATTATTTTGGGCAAAAGATTGACTTTCATCCAATATTCTCATCAAAATCGAGAATGTTATTTTGCTGTTTTTGGTTATCTTTCTTTTTTTGTTTTAATGAATAAAAAGCCCATCAGCAACATTATCTTTAATTAACAATGTAAATCGATCGATCATTGATAAACAAGAGGAAAAAGAAGAAGATCATTTTGAAGATGATAAACATAAACAACAGCCAAATTGCTAATTGGATATTTTTCAGCAAAATTGAACAAAATTCTTGTTTTTCATCATGATCAACATCAACGATAATCAAACAAAGAAGATTAAGTTAATTAAGGTTTTATTCTTTCTTTTCTTTCTCTGCTTTCATCAAGCTAATTTCTTTCTTTTCTTTCCCTTTTTCATCAAGGTTGATTCATCAAAATGAACGTGTAGGGAAATTAATTGTCTTGAACATCATTATCATCGATAATCGTATCTTTTCATCCATCGATGATCGATGAGTGAAATGCTGATCTTGATCCTGATAATGAATGTAACATGATAATAATTTCTTTGTGTTGGTTGCAAAGGTTAATTTGTTGAATTGAGAGAGAAGAGAAACAGAAAAATTTCAATATTTTCTCTTTGCCGCTGATCAATCATTGTTTGAATGTTTGTTGAGGATGTTGTGAATGACAAGAAAAGCAAAACAAAAAACCGACTTTATCCAGTTTCGTTGCTGCTGAAATCTGATCTGGTTATGTAATGTAAATGTGGAGAAAATTGAATGAAGGGAATCTCCTTGCATAATAAAACCGAGAATTTTTACCGGAAAGAAAATTTATGGAAAAATTTTCTCGAAGCCAATCATGATGTTCATGTGTTTGCATTAATTAGCAGTTTGGTTCTTCATTCATTTAACTTCAGTTTTTCTTTTTGTTTTATTACAGTTTTCATGGCAGCTGTTTTCAATTCTTTCTTTTTTGATCTTTCCATTTCACAAACACAATCCACTCACCCACTCACTCTCATCTAACCGAAAAGATTTTCATATTTTTTCATATTTTTCTTCTTCACTGGATCTAATTGCCCGTCGGGCACTTTTGGTTGACTGTCAATTTTTTTTTTCTTCAAAGTTGTTTCACCCTGTATAGTCATTTGACAATGGAAAAGGGTCCTCCAATTTCAGAGCGAGAGGGAGAGAGAGAGAGAGAGAGTTTATTATTGGCTGTCAATCAGTCAATCATTTGAAGTTCAGTTCGGTTAAGTTCAGTTCAGACTTGATAACCAAAAAAA